GTAACTGTGTCGTCTTATGCGTAAAAGGGAAAGAGAGTCACCTGATAAATACTACATTATAAGACACAGTCTCTGAGCAGTCAAAATAACTTCATTTTAGACAGCTGCACTTCTTCACATTTGCTTTGATGCATTTGATTTTCTTACTTTTACAAAACCAGTTCCCCCAAGACACCCAGTGGCTCCAGCATTCAGCCGTCTGCTCTTTACGCTTGCCTATTAACAGCTCAGTGCAGAAGTAGCCAAGGCTGGTGGCAGAAGAGAGTTCACTTTCCTCTTAGGAGAGCTTCATCATTTTTAGATTTAAGTATGTTAGAACTGCCAGCTTGTTGGAATGGTACCCAAAAGGTTAACAGAATAACGAGTTATTGGAATGATACCCAGCTGGTTAACAGAATAAAGAGTTATTTTCTATAGCTATAAAGAAACAGGCACGTAAAACATGTTCTGTACTAAAAATTCAAGTCACTCCAGCACCAAGTGGACGTAGTCTGCATCTACTTAAGATTTGGACTTTGCATTGCTATTTGATACAGTTGTTTTCTGTAGGTTACTTTAGTCAATTAGTTAGCTACTCCATTTTGGCAGGAGTCTGATCATATGGCATTCCCTGCAGAACTGGGAACAAATTCTGATCCATTTTATGGTTTCTCCTCCCTAAGCTCTGATAAATTGTAAACTCGGCAAAAACATTTGGTTTTGTTATTTGTTTTAAATCTAAATCCACGAATAAGATATTGACTGATATTTTTAGAGCTAAGACTTTATAGTCTTTTATTGGAATAAAAAAGTGACACATCTGAGTTTACAATGTATAATTACATCGCATTTTATGTTCTTTGCTTCAGAAAACAAACTGACCAGAATTAATACAGTAGCAAAATTCTGAGGACAGCAGCAACGTATGTGAAGGAACTGTTAGTAGAGTGCCAGCAGAAAGAGCTACGGGGTTCACAAATCCATGGAAAGGTATTTTATCTTCCAATAGTAGTTTCAGGATATAAATGAAGTTCCTATGATATTTGACTAGACCTATCAACATCAACTGTAACGATTTAAGATGTGTATTTTTACATAATAAGATTTGAGGACTCGGTTAACGGTTGACTAGTTTCAATCCCTGATGGAGGCAAACAGCACTCACCACCACTTCCCTTCTGGTCTATAATACCAAGAGAGCAAGCTCATCCATGTTTTATTTGCCATTTCAGCACTGAATAACATCACTGTTTCTGTGAGGTAACTGACAGATTCCTCAATGGCAGAATACACTAAATTCAGATTGCCAGCCCATCCTTTGATGTCTGTTGTGTCTGCTGCAAACACCTCACATCTACCAGATGGAGACAATGGACAAAATTGGTCTTCAGCCTTTTCACTCTAGTCTGTACTGATGCAACATTGACTGCGCAGTCAACCATAACAAAGACTCTGAAACAATGCTATGTTTAAAGCAAGATAATGTTATTTACATTGCCCTAAGAAGATGGAATTGTAGTACAACTCTATTTCATGACCTCAAGTCAGCTGAGGTTTTCAGGTGGAAATACTTAGACCTTTCCCTTACAAGCCACCCAGAGATGAAAGAGGAGTTTTGAACTTCAGAGTTTAATTCTATTAGCAGAAGAAAAAGCCAAATCACACCCAAAAAACCCCACTAGAATATCTAACTCTTTAAGTGTTCTCTAATTAGCATAAAGAGAATAGAAATGGTTCATGAACCAGCCTCCCCACTGTGTCCTTGCAGGGCACACCCTCGCTTTCAGACTTGGTTTTAAGTCAGCTTTCCAAGTCAAAGCAAACTCCGCACAGCTCCCTCTTCAGAAACTTTCTGCTGATCACCCCCCCCCAGGTCTGGCTGTCTCATCCCTATCCAAGTCTCTCCTTGATCTGCAGACTTCTGGCCTACCACCTTGCATGCTCTGGAAGCCCCCCTTCTGCAAGGGAGCGTAGTCACTCCCCAAGAGCTGGAGAATCTCCCCACAGAGTTCTACCTGTCACTTGCTTTTTAGAGAAGTGCAACAAACTAGGAACAAACAAAAACAAGCAGACTGTCTGAGAGTGAATGAAACTTGTTTTACAAGGTCCCAAGCCAGTGTCTGGGAAAGTTACTGCAAATGTTTAGATATGCTGGATAGAGACAGAGAACAGTGATACACAGACTTAAGCAGCATGACTAGGCAAGGCAAATTACAATATTTAAAGAGTCCTTACTTAAGTCCTTTCTTCAAAGCTTCAAAAATTTTCTTCACCTGCAGTGGTTTTGGATCCCATATGACTGCCCCCTTCTGCAGGGAATTATAAGCCTTGGGGGATTTCAGTGACATTCTTGATCTCACTGAACTTCTGCTGAGAGACTTTCTGTAGAAAGAGAAAAAGAAACATGGGAAAGATGCAAAACCCATCACCAGGGAGAAGAGAGATGCCTAACCCACAAAGCTTCCAGGCTATAAGTTATATGCCCAATCCCATACACATTCACACAAAAGAACAAAGCTCTTTGACACACTGAGAATACTTTCCCAGATAACATTGGAAAGTTAAGGCCCTGCCCTAAATACCTAGTGCGGAAAACCTGCAAGTTTTTTGTGACTTCAACAATAAAAATGTCAATAAGAAACATCTCCTTCTCCAAGCTTGACACAGACTCCGAGAAGCCTAATGGTTTGCTTTTCACCTTTTTAAGTAGAAAAAATTGTGCAGGTCCCCATTTCTTGGCGGGGGGG